TTTTATGAGGACCTCTTTACCACCAATTGATAGAATTTGCTCAATCCAACCTTGAATATGTTTCCATACTCTATCTTTAAGGTATTAGAATACCCCATTTTTTATTTTTCCCACTTCAATTGGCATGCCAAGATATCTATCAGACAATGCTTCAACAGAAACATTCAAAGCTTGCTTTACTTCTTCTCCGAGGTCACTCGGACACCCCTGCTAAAATATACAAATGACTTATCCAAAATAATTCTCTGCCCAGATGCACGATAGTAAAGATCAAGTGCGGCTACAACCTCCTAAGCTGCTTTTACATTTGCTTTCATAAAAAAACTATCATTTCCAAAATAGTAAATGACTTACTTTTGGTGCACTCGGAGCAACCTTCAACCCAATCAACTATGAACTTCCCACTCTTTCATTTAGTAAGCAAGAAAGTCCCTCTATTGCTAACACAAAAAAATAAGGAGACATTTGGTCACCCTGACGTATTCCTCTGTTCAATTTAAAATTCTCCAGCTGATTGCCATTGGACATAACTAAAAATGAGATAGTTCGGACAAAGGACATCACCGACGGAATCCGTACAGGGCTAAACCCCAACTTTCCCATAATAGCTTCCAAGTAATCCCACTCGACTTTGTCGTATGCTTCCATCATATCAATCTTTAGAGCGCAACTCCTATTCTTTTTCGCCTTATCAGTTTTCATAAAGTGCAGACTTTCAAAGGCAGAGATTGTATTATCTATAATCAACTATCCAGGCACAAAAGTTGACTGCTCAAAGGAAATAATCTCTGGGAGGATTACCTTAAGTCTGTTCGCCAACACCCTTTTGACACCATCTTTATAAATCACGTTATAAAGGCTAATGTGTCTGAACTGAGTTAGAAGGGCCGGATTTAATACCTTTGGAATAAGCACAATGAAAGTGTTGTTGATTACCTCCATAGTATCACCCGCCTTCAACACTCTAAGCACCATCTGTGTTATCTCCTCACCACACAAAACCCAGTGTTTCTGAAAGAAATATGCCGGGAAGCCATATGGCCCCGGTGCTTTTGTCGGGAACATTTGGAACAATGCATTCTTAATTTCCTCAGCTGTATATGGTTTCACAAGTTCCTCATTCATAGCACCAACGACCTTGCATGGGACATGCTGCAGCAACATGTCAACGTCATTGACCACCTCGGAGGTATAAAGGTCTTTAAAAAAATATTAATCATGTCAGCCATCTCCCCTCTATCCTCTGTAACGGTCCCATCCATTTTTGTGAGTCGTGTGATCTTATTCTTCTTCTTACGCAAAGTGGCCTTCCGATGAAAAAAATCTGTGTTTGGGTCCCCCTCTTTAAGCCACCAAATTCTTGAACGTTGTCGGCACATGATCTCCTCTCGATGGTATAATTCAGCTAACCGGTCAAGAATTTCTGTTTCTTCACGGCTAGGACCACTTCTTCTTGGCTTAGCTCTCAAATGGGCCAACAAGCCTTTAAGTTTGTTGATCTCCTTGGTAACACTGCCAAACTCTTCCTGGCTCCACTTTTGCAAGTCCTCTACTATGCTTTTTAATTTGTCATTCATGCCCTTCATGCTAGTAGCCCTTGAGCTACCCCATCGCTGCTCAATCATTGATCCAAACCCCTCATGTGACTCCCACATCTTTTCATAACTAAAAAGCTTTGGCATCCAATCTAACCTTTCCTAAGAAAACAGATGCAAAACGATTTGAAAAACAAAAAACAAAAAACTCACACTGCAACTACAATACTGGGGTGGCCCAGTAACGCGGCGCCACATGGCCGGGCTCGATCCCGGCGAGGAGCCCGACCTAAACCAAGCAGGCCCCATTCCTTCCCCGGAACACGGAAGCTCGAAATCCATACACGGCTAACCCCCAACTTTCCCATAATAGCTTCCAAGTAATCCCACTCGACTCTATCGTATGCTTTCATCATATCAATCTTTAGAGCGCAACTCCTATTCTTTTGTAGCCTTATTAGTTTTCATAAAGTGCGGGCTTTCAAAGGCAGAGATTATATTATCTGTAATCAACTATCCAGGCACAAAAGCTGACTGCTCAAAGGAAATAATCTTTGGGAGGATTACCTTAAGTCTGTTTGGCAACACCCTTTTGACACCACTTTAGTAAATCGCGTTATAAAGGCTAATGGGTCTAAACTGAGTGTTGTTGATTTGGCTGGATTTGATACCTTTGGAATAAGCACAATGAAAGTATTGTTGATTACCTCCATAGAATCACCCGCCTTCAACACTCTAAGCACCAAGTGTGTTATCTCCTCACCACACAAACCCCAGTGTTTTTGAAAGAAATGCGTCAGGAAGCCATATGACCCCGGTGCTTTTGTCGGGAACATTTGGAACAATGTATTCTTAATTTCCTCAGCCATATATGGTTTCACAAGTTCCTCATTCATAGCACCAGCGACCTTGCATGGGACATGCTGCAGCAACATGTCAACGTCATTGACCACCTGGGAGGTATAAAGGTCTTTAAAAAAATTATTAATCATGTCGGCCATCTCCCTCTATCCTCTGTAACGGTCCCATCCATTTTTGTGAGTCATGTGATCTTATTCTTCTTCTTGCGCAAAGTGGCCTTCCGATGAAAAAAATCAGTGTTTGGGTCCCCCTCTTTAAGACACCAAATTCTCGAACGTTGTCGGCACATGATCTCCTCTCGATGGTATAATTCAGCTAACCGGTCAAGAATTTTTGTTTCTTCATGGCTAGGACCGCTTCTTCTTGGCTCAGCTCTCAAACGGGCCAACAAGCCTTTAAGTTTGTTGATCTCCTTGGTAACACTGCCAAACTCTTCCCGGCTCCATTTTTGCAAGTCCTCTACTATGCTTTTTAATTTGTCATTCATGCCCTTCATGCTAGTAGCCCTTGAGCTACCCCATCGTTGTTCAATCATTGATCCAAACCCCTCATGTGACTCCCACATCTTTTCATAACTAAAAAGCTTTGGCATCCAATCTAACCTTTCCTAAGAAAACAGATGCAAAACAATTTGAAAAACAAAAAACAAAAAACTCGCGCTGCAACTATAATACTGGGCTGGCCCAGTAAAGCAGCGCCACATGCCCGGGCTCGATCCCGGCGAGGAGCCCGACCTAAACCAAGCAGGCCCCATTCCTTCCCCGGAACACGGAAGCTCGAAATCCATACACGGCTAAACCCCAACTTTCCCATAATAGCTTCCGAGTAATCCCACTCGACTCTATTGTATGCTTTCATCATATCAATCTTTAGAGCGCAACTCCTATTCTTTTTTAGCCCTTATTAGTTTTCATAAAGTGCGGACTTTCAAAGGCAGAGATTATATTATCTGTAATCAACTGTCCAGACACAAAAGCTGACCGCTCGAAGGAAATAATCTTGGGGAGGATTACCTTAAGTCTGTTCGGCAACACCCTTTTGACACCACTTTATAAATCGCGTTATAAAGGATAATGGGTCTGAACTGAGTGTTGTTGATTTGGCCGGATTTGATACCTTTGGAATAAGCACAATGAAAGTATTGTTGATTACCTCTATAGTATCACCCGCCTTCAACACTCTAAGCACCAACTGTGTTATCTCCTCACCACACAAACCCCAGTGTTTTTGAAAGAAATGCATCGGGAAGCCATATGGCCCCGGTGCTTTTGTCGGGAACATCTGGAACAATGCATTCTTAGTTTCCTCAGCCGTATATGGTTTCACAAGTTCCTCATTCATAGCACCAGTGACCTTGCATGGGACATGCTGCAACAACATATCAACGTCATTGACCCCTTGGGAGGTATAAAGGTCTTTCAAAAAATTATTAACCATGCCGACCATCTCCCTTCTATCCTATGTAACGGTACCATCCGTTTTTGTGAGTCGTGTGATCTTATTCTTTTGCTTGCGCAAAGTGGCCTTCCGATGAAAAATTCAGTGTTTCGGTCCCCCTCTTTAAGCCACTGAATTCTCGAACGTTGCCGGCACATGATCTCCTCTCGATGGTATAATTCAGCCAATCGGTCAAGATTTTTTGTTTCTTCACGGTTATGACCGCTTCTTCTTGGCTCATCTCTCAAAGGATCCAACAAGCCTTTAAGTTTGTTGATCTCCTTGGTAACACTGCCGAACTCTTTTCGGCTCCACTTTTGCAAGTCCTCTGCTATGCTTTTTAATTTATCGTTCATGCCCTTCATGCTAGTAGCCCTTGAGCTACCCCATGGCTGCTCAATCACCGATCCAAACCCCTCGTGTGACTCCCATATCTTTTCATAACTAAAAAGCTTTAGCATCCAATCTAACCTTTCCTAAGAAAACAGATGCGCCAAATGGTGCCCCTGATTTTGTGCAAAACTTGGTAGCCAGCGATGCTGCTGAGCTCTTTGGTTAATGGAATAAAAATATGATTCCAGTTAAAAAAAAACAGATGCAAAACAATTTGAAAAACAAAAAAACTCGCGCTGCAGCTACAATACTGGGCTGGCCCAGTAACGCGGCGCCACATGGCCCGGCCCGATCCCGGAACTCGGAAGCCGACCTAAACCAAGCAGGCCCATTCCTTCCCAGAAGGAGGCTCTCTTCCTTTTTTTTTCGATTCCCGCAACGCGGAACCGACCCTGTCGGTCGCGTAAAACTCGTCGAAACCCGAGGGAGTCGCGCGCGACACGAACTTCGACCGGTCCGCGCCCACCCAACGCAGGCGCGCATGGCCCACGGGCCAGCCACAGCAGCCGCTTTCCAAGACGCTTCCTCGCCCACCCTCCTCCCACACTTTCCCATGGGTCGGGACCCGGGTCATGGCAGCAGTTGCGCACCTGCGCTGCGCCTCGCAAAGAATACAGTGCCGACTAGTAGAATTGGACCGAACGGAACCACCCCCCTCAGATCTGAGACACACCACACCGCCACCGGCCTCCTCCCCCCTCGTCCCCGCCCCGCCCCTCCCTCACGCTGGCGAACCTCCTCCTGGAAGCTCCGGGAGGGGGCCGCTCCGGGGCGATGGGGCTCTTCGACCGCCTGCCCCCCATGGACCACCTCCGCTCCGAGAAGATGTGCCTCGTGCAGCTCATTTTCCCCGCCGAGAGCGCGCGCCTCGCCGTCACCTACCTCGGCGAGCTCGGCCTCCTCCAGTTCAAGGACGTGAGTGCCTCTCTACCTCGTCTCCCCCCTCCAGCCTCCCCCCTCGCGGATCTGCCTGATCCAGCCTCGCGCGTCGTGATCTCTGACCCGCTCGCTCGCGTGCGTCGCACTCTCCGCGCCCTCGGATCTAGCTCTCGCCTGTGCTCGGGACGGATAGCTAGTTTTTGATCCGGGTGTCATTGGACCTCGAGGCTTAGCGCGCGTCTCGTTTGAGCTGCTTTGGACCAACTGCCTTCCTTGGTTACTGGGTGTAAGGTGTTGTTCTCGACCAGGGGGCACAGGCTTCACAGGGCTTAGACTTCGATGATAAGCGTGGATGAATGTGGTAGAGGAAATTCGTATTATACGAATATGTTTTTGGTGTGTTTTTAGCTTGCTTTGATCCTACTTGGCATCTATGCTGTCGTTGAGTAAAAATTACCTAAGCAATAGCCATTCTTCATCATAAGCCAATTTATACAAACAGATCGTTAAGGAGGGTGATTTACTGTTTGTTTGTTGTACCATTCATGGATAATATATGTGTGTTGCAATTTATCAAGTTTTTATTGATTAGCTTGGCATATTGGAGCACTTTTGTAATGCTTAGTTTAGCTGCACAATGCACCCTTTCTGAGGACATGAGAATGAGTTGAAGTTTGGGCTTCACTAATAACTTAATCATAGAGATGCTCCTAGGAACATTAGGCAAACTGATCGCTGCTTGTTATTCAAATTCCTGATTAAGATAGTGGATTTTCCTGCTAATGTGATCATGCGGTCTGATAGGTTCCTGTTTTCACCCATGAATCACCATGCCACCATATGCACGTGAACATGTCATAGTCCTTGATGATGATACATATCGCCCTACCGGGTGCTGCATTCCATGGCTGTCTGTCAGTGAGGAAATATGGACAAGAGAGGCTTGCGTTATGCATTTGGTGTCTTAGTCCCTCAGCACCTCCTTTTTGTTTTTTATTATCATGCGCATGGTGGAAATAACCAAAGTAGGTTGATTAATATCACACCAAAATATGATTAGATGTGTGATCTTCATACGACCAATCATCACATTGTGTATGTTAAAATGACATTTGTGGAAAAGGAATGAGAAGAAAAATAGGCTTCAGAAATAATAAAAACGGCATAAAAGTATATTCGACTACATATGACGAATGCAAGGCTATAGTTTGGACTTCGTAGAAAACTTTGTTAACTGTTTACTTTCAGATATTAGTTTTTGTTTGTTCTATCTGCCAGAATCTACAATTGTTCAACTGCTGACCTTTTTATTTTTCTACCCCTTCTTTTGCAGTTGAATGAGGATAAGAGTCCTTTTCAGCGTATATTTGTCAACCAGGTGATCTAAATTATGTTATTCTCCATCTGATATTTATGTTGATCACACCGTATTGCACACATCTGTTCTATTCTACTATGCAAATGCCAATGCTAGTATAAAGTATGGATTATTTCAGTGTCATTATATCGTCTACTTATTCTTGTTTTATGTGAAAAACGAGCCTATGAAGCCGAGCCAAGCTGAATTTAATCTGACATGTTAAATTCATATTCTATTTGTTTCTGTTTGCCATGGTTTTTCGAAAAAATATTGGAAAAGAAAGATACCTGAACAACAAGAATATGATAAAATGGATACATTGGGACTCTTTTCGGTAGATGGATTGAATATATTTGTTGCATTTGGTATTTGATACCGTAAGTATTTGATTTTCAACCAAGTTACCTAATGAACTATGTCAGTGGGCAGTGGCACAATATATCATTTCTGGTAAAAAACGGTAGGGAACCTCCCAAATGCTTGCTTTTATATGCTTGCAACGTACCATGCGCTGATCATGGTATGGAACTTCATCGGACTGTTGCTTTCCTTACTGTGTGGCAGTGGATGCACACCAGCCCACCCCACCCCGTATGATAAGCCTGTCGCAACTCTTCTGCAGGTAAAGCGATGTGCAGAGATGACTCGTAAGCTGAAGTTTTTCAGTGATCAGATCAACAAGGCAGGTGTTAAGTCTTCTGTCCGTCCTGCACTACAACCAGAAATTGATTTGGAGGAGCTAGAGGTACTTCTTTTAGTTGGAGCTGGAGCTGCATTAGCACTGTCATTTTATCATAGCTATATAATTAATCCTCTTGGATTTCTATTATTTATGCAACAAGAAGTCATTTTGAGAGGAAATGCTTAGTTTGCTCTTAGGGAGTATCAATAATTTCTCTCGCTATTTCTGCAGGCAAAATTGGGTGAGCATGAGCATGAGCTGCTTGAGATGAATACTAATAGTGGGACACTACGGCAGACATACAATGAACTTCTTGAATTCAAACTGGTCTTGTCAAAGGTTGTATCTCGATTCTTGTGAAACATTGAATTCACTGTTCCATGTGTTTACTTGTAACTAATAAGGTGTGAGATAAAAGATATACATTAGTCATTAGTGTACTTGCAACACCTTCTATTGATATGCTGGTGTACTTCTTGAAAATATGGAAATTTGTGAAGAAATATGTTCTCTCATTCTCTGTAGCTGATGACTGGGGCACTTGGTCCAGTTTATTAACTATGTAGTGTAACATTGGTTGTTAATCATAAATCCCTACTGTAATTATTATACATCTTGGTCAAATATCTTTTCCTTTTTCTGTTGTCAAATCGCTACTGTTCTCTCATGCTTTAAGTAACATATCTATTCCTTTTGCTGTTGTTTTCCATGCTTTCTCAAATAACTTCTTGCAGGCAGGTAGCATCCTTGCTGCTTCTCAAAATCATGCAACTCCAGCTGACCATGAGCTAGATGAACATATATATGACAAGGAAGTGGATGAAGGAAATGGCTATTTGCTTGAACAGGTGTTGTCTTTGTTCTTATTCTTGAAGTTAATACTGTTCTGTTCTTCCATTAAATTGTAACACGAAATGTTCTCAGGGAATACAGCAAGGGGCCTCGGAATCTGGTGTTAGGTTTGTTAGTGGGATAATACTGAAGTCCAAGGCATTGGCTTTTGAGAGGATGCTTTTCCGAACTACAAGGGGAAATTTGTTTTTCAATCAGGCATCTGCAGGGGAACCTGTTATGGATCCCAGTTCTGGTGAAGAGGTCTGTCATTGTGGCTTGCTGTTCCTAATTCTTGGGTATATCTAGTAGCTGCCATAAATTATTGACTGGTTGTGATAGCTTCTCTTTGTTTTCTATCTCCAACCAGGTTTATAGCCCTAATTTATGTGGTGTAATACTGAAATGAACCCTGAAACCTCGAAAGGTTTTCAACACTATTTTAACACATAAGTTGCACTCCGACAGGTAGAGAAGACTGTTTTTGTAGTTTTCTTTTCGGGCGAGCAGGCTAAAGCAATAATATTGAGGATTTGTGCTTCATTTGGAGCAAATTGCTACCCTGTTCCTGAGGAGACTGTCAAGCAGAGACAAATTCTTCGTGAGGTATTTTTGGAGAAGCCACCTTTTCTAGTAGCAACAATTAATCCCTCCATTCTTCTGTACATGTAGTTGTCTGTGAGTATAAGTTGTTCAGTTTTTAGCAGCCTGCCTGTCATTTTGTTTTCTGTTGAAGTACACGAGTGCCATCCTGATGTAACGCTGTAATACTCTGTACTTTAGTATTTGAAGTACTGACTTCTATAATATTTGTGGCAGGTATCATCACGCCTGGGTGATCTAGAAGTCACCTTGGATGCTGGAATCCAGCACAGAAACAAAGCACTTGAGTCAGTTGGGTCCCAATTATGGAGGTGGATACTCATGGTAATCAAGTAATAGCAATTTCTCATTTTGTCTTGAAATTGCTACCTTAAAAAAATTGTGTTCCACATTTGTGATAGTACCTAGTTTTATTATTATTGTTTCTAACCTGTGTATTCTTTTTAGGTAAAAAAAGAGAAAGCTGTTTATGATACACTGAACATGTTGAACTTTGATGTGACAAAGAAATGCCTTGTTGGAGAAGGATGGTGCCCAATATTCGCTAAATCTCAGGTCAGAAATGCAACTCTTTTTGTGCTCATTTTTCAAATTTAGGATAGTCATCTTACTTCTAAGTTGTGCTTCAGATCGAGGATGTTTTGCAGCGTGCAACTCTTCACAGCAACTCACAAGTTGGAATAATATTTCATGAGATGGACACTATTGATTCGCCACCTACATACTTCCGAACTGATAAATTTACGAATGCTTTCCAGGAGATTGTTGATGCATATGGGTATGTACCTTGATGCAAACATTAACCTGAATAAATGGTTTTATTTGTTACACTTATGCCCTTTGGGAAGTCGTGGAAAAACCAAGTAAATATGGAATACTATGTTTTAAATGAGATTTCTATCCTATGTGTAGAGGCAAAGTAGTTGGAGAGATCATGTGCTTAGTTACTCGATCCAGCAATTATTCTGCTATAATTTTTCAAGGGTTTGTGATTTGAGATCCAAGGGATGGTGAGCAAGAGCATGTTACATTGTTAGGTGACAGTTGATTTAATTCCAAGACCTAAGAGGAGTTTGTTCAGGAGTTGGATTAGGTTTGCTTGTTTAATGCTCGCAGCACCTGTTTGTTGTTGTTGTTGTTGTTGTTGTTGACTGCGGCCATGCAATATTGATTGCTTCATAAGACCTTGGAGATTATTGGAATCTAAACTTGATGTGATTGCTTTGTCTTGGAATGTTTTGTTTTACTAAATTATTGTTTAGTATTCTCTGATCAAAGAGAACCCCATATTGTACTCTCTCTGATCCAAAATAAGTGTCGTGGTTATATTTTGAGCTAAAACCATGACACTTATTTTGGTCGGAGGGAGTAATATTTTTGCCATGAATTGATCATGAATCTGTATTGTTGCAGTGTTGGTCGATATGAAGAAATTAATCCAGCTGTATATTCTGTTATCACGTTCCCATTTCTTTTTGCTGTTATGTTTGGAGATTGGGGTCATGGAATATGTCTGTTAATTGGAGCTTTGATTCTTATACTTCGTGAAAAGAAACTTTCCTCTCAGGTACTCTGAGCTCAACTTGGACCTTCTATTTCCTTCCTTTTTTTTTGGTAATAGCCATTGCATGCAATCTTTGAAGTGTGATTTTACTGAGCGCAGTTCATAGATTGCACATATGTTACTTTCTACTGCTTTAGACAGTGCAGTTATAACTTGGCTGTTGGTGCGCACCTAGTTCTACTCTTCTAGCATATTGTTGTACCTTTTTTTGTTCTTTTTTTCTATTTTTGCTCCTTACTGTCAGGTTTTGGTTCACTGTTCTCTATGGCAATATTTGAATGCATATGCTAAGGAAAACATGTATAGTTATTTCATGACTTAGCTGGATATGAGTGAATTGTACAAAAAAATGTTATATCTTGTGTATGAAAAATGCTTAACTTCTATTAGTAAAATCCAAATAGGCTGTACCCCAACATCTCTAGGACAAGGTTTGATCACCTCAAAGAAATTAGTTCTTTTTTTAGCATCAATATCAACCTGGATGGAGGTAGAGGTGCGTGGAACCTATGGTGTCTGTAGGAGTACATTTGCAAAAATTGTGGAGAAGTCATTTAGTTATGGCATATTTGCATAGGTATCCATAAAATCCCTCAATCTAGATGGAATCCAATATCTCTGTATCTAGGACCACATTGAAAATTGTTTCTGTCCCACTCATGCCTACTGTCTTAAACCATTATCAAATGATGTTCTTGTGAGTATTTTCCTACAAATATGTTGCTGGGAAGGTATTATTAGTTACTCCCTCCGTCCCAAAATATAAGAACGTTTTTAACACTACACTAGTGTCAAAAACGTTCTTATATTTTGGGACAGAGGGAGTACTTATAACTTTGCAGTTTATCAGTTTTTCCTTCTGCAAATTGCCTGCACTGAATTCAAGCTGTTCTCCTAAGCTGTGGTCCATTGATTATCGCAGAAGCTTGATAGCTTTACGGAGATGGCATTTGGTGGGCGTTATGTGATTCTTCTGATGGCGTTGTTCTCAATATACTGTGGGCTCATATACAACGAATTCTTCTCTGTTCCATTCCATATATTTGGCAAATCAGCATATGCGTGTCGAGAAAATTCCTGCAGGTATTGACTTTACCATTTCGATAGTTATCTGAGTGTGCTGTTATGCTGGGGAACTTAAATTGTAACTCTAGTAAAATATCTGAATCGAACTCAAGTTCTTTTCACTAGTTCATTCTGCTTTGAGCATGCCGCGACTTCTATTTAATTTGCTACTCCCTCTGTTCCTAAATATAAGTCTTTTTAGAGATTTCAATATGGACTACATACGGATGTATATAGACGTATTTTAGAGTGTAGATTCACTCATTTTGCTCCGTATATAGTCCATATTGGAATCTCTAAAAAGACTTATATTTAGGAAAGGAGGGAGTAGTTAGCAAATTTCTTGAGTAGATTCCATGTGTCTAGGCATTTTGGGCAGAGAGTAGCTCTATCTCCCCTTACCATTTAAAGTAGCTATTTCTGAGTATGTGCAATGTACATAAAATAAGGAGTACGTAAGACCTGAGAGTATGCACAGATTTATTTTTGACACAACGGGGCTATATGCAACTATAAGTACGCGCAGCTGTTCCCTCTTGATACAAGGATCTCTATTTCTTGAGGTAATATGCGTCCATAACAAATGATTTACCTTCACAATTTATCTAGACTGGTTAAAACGCCTTCTTGTGGTTCTGGGCATGCAAGGTACTACTCCCTCCGTTCCGATTTACTCGTCGTGGTTTTAGTTCAAATTTGAACTAAAACCACAACGAGTAAATCGGAACAGAGGGAGTACGTTATAGTTATTTTTGTCAAGGGGTGCATATGGGAGATGACTATCGATTTGGTTATTTCTGTCTTCTTATTGGTTCCATGAGTTGGTCACGAGATCTTATGGGTTTCACCTCTAGCCTACCCCAACTTGTTTGGGACTAGGGTCAGTTTGGTTTGCGTCCTCATTGTTTCAAGCCTGGCCTGGAGCGTGCCTGTGGTCTGCCTGGGAGGCGTTTGGTTCAGTTCCTGGAAAAGATAGTAGTGCCCTGGCCTGGATAGCCAGGCATCTTCGTTAGCCTGCCAGGCTTCCGAATTCCTACGCCTGGGCACAGGCTAATAGCTGCCTGGCCTCTAATGCTAGTACGGGGACTTGTGCCAGCCAATAGGACTCTTTCTTTAGTTTTTGTGCTGTCGTTTGTTTCTTAATACGCGTACACTAGTCCAGGCAGGAACCAAACACATCTCCGTCCGGCTTGCCTGACCAGGCACGAAAAAGCAAATTCCCAGGCAGAGTACAGGCAGCCAAATTCTCCAGGCATGGTGTCCAGGGCAGTAACCAAACTAGCCCAAGGCTTTGTTGTTGTTGTTGTTGTTGTTGTTGTTGTTTTCTTATTGATTATTACTTCATGAAACACTGGACCCTCTTTAGTTCTTGTTGGTCACCAGATAGCAAGTCCATCTCTGAAGATTTAACACCCAGCCTGTTTGTTTCAGTGATGCATATACTGCTGGCCTCGTAAAAGTTCGTGATCCCTACCCTTTTGGAGTGGACCCAAGTTGGCGTGGAAGTCGATCTGAGCTACCCTTTCTAAATTCTTTGAAGATGAAGATGTCAATACTGATGGGTGTCTCCCAGATGAACTTGGGAATTTTATTGAGTTATTTTGATGCAAAGTTTCATAAAAATGCCCTAGACATTAGGTATTGTATATTTTTGTCGCGTCTTTTCTTCTTTGGATGCATGCAAACCATAGGATGCAAGCAATATATTTAACAATGTGGGTTCCTCAGGTACCAATTCATACCGCAGCTGATTTTCCTGAATAGCCTCTTTGGTTACTTATCACTCCTGATTCTCATTAAGTGGTGCACGGGGTCTAAAGCCGATCTGTATCACGTGATGATATATATGTTCCTTGACCCTGCTGGAGATCTTGGAGAGAATCAACTTTTTTGGGGACAGAAGGAACTCCAGGTTCTGTAACCTTCAAATAAAAACAAATTAAAGCTTCATTGTATGTTCTTTTTCATGCCTATTTACCAGTTTCCCTCTTCCAGATACTTTTGTTGCTTCTGGCCCTTGTAGCTGTTCCATGGATGCTCTTCCCAAAGCCTTTCATTCTAAAGAAACTTCATAAGGAGGTATGTTATGAATAAACTCGACTCATGAAGAAAAACAATTGCACTTTTATTTGAGATAGACTTTTGGTGCTGTGTTGGTGTGTCCTAATGCTTAAAGTAACGACCACAAGCTTAATCCATAGTCTCTGCAGCCTTATGTTCTTTATTGACATGTTGTGCTTGTATAGTTAAATCCAGTAGTGCAAGAGTTAAGAGTACCATTGGTAAATTTCAGATAGTAAAACCTAGAAGAGGTGCCTCTTTAAGTTATATTGCTAACTTGGTTCTTGTTGTCACTAGTTTCTATGCTGCATCCTGGAGATCTTTGTTTTCTACTCCCTCCGTTCCTAAATATAAGCCTTTTTAGAGATTTCAATATGGACTACATACGGATGTATATAGACATATTTTAGAGTGTAGATTCATTCATTTTGCTCCGTATGTAGTCCATATTGGAATCTCTAAAAAGACTTACATTTAGGAACAGAGGGGAGTATATGGCACCAGTGTTGTTAGGTTAATAAGTTTAGGCTATGGGTGAGTAAGCAAAAATCCTAGATTATGTTTGCTATATCTAGTGGACTGCTAAATCTTTGTTCCTGGATCTAGAGATTTCAAGGTCACAGCTATCGCTTCCTTGGGACATCTGAAATGGATCCAGATTCTGAACCCGACTCTGCCCGTTCACGTCATGATGATTTCAATTTTGGTGAAGTTTTTGTTCATCAAATGATACACTCCATCGAGTTTGTTCTCGGGGCTGTCTCAAATACTGCATCATACCTTCGACTTTGGGCCTTGAGGTTTGCCTCCTGTGATTTTTTGTTGCGAAATATCATCTGTTGGTTCTTTCCATGACTTGATGTACTGTTCTTTTACTTCAGCTTGGCACATTCTGAGCTATCAACAGTTTTCTACGAGAAGTTGCTGCTATTTGCATGGGGGTAAACCTCGTCCTTTTTTCCTTATCTCTGGGTGTAACTTTTTTATTCATACGACAGTGTTTGTCTTTTCATCAATGTTCAAAATAGCGGAAAGCGTAGGCAAAGCGGAAGGCCACAGCTTAGAGCAATGGGCGCTTAAGCGTTTTTTGAAATTGGCTAGAATTTGACAGATTTTGAATAATATACACAGGAAAGTAGGAAACATGGCACATGGGTAATTGAAATAGCATCTAAAATACAGTTCACACCATAGAAAATACACATCAAGTTCACACAGCAAGTAAAATAACAACTAAAATGCAGTTCAATTCAAATAGACATAACCTAATAGAGATCATGTGGCCAGAATATGAAGGAAGTAGTTCCCGAACAGAGACTAATAGTAAGATAAATGGCATATTGCTATTAATGCGCAAGCAGAGAAGTAGAAGTAGTTCATAAACAGCCAAATTCTGGCCAAATTAAAAAAAAACCCCGCTTAATCTACCCCTTAGGGCAAAAGTGAAGCGTTTTGCCATCGCTCAGCGCTTAAGCGTCGCTTAAAAACGCTTTCTTGAACACTGCTTCACATTTGACTGCCATGAAATGCATGGTCTCAGATATGATATCATCTATTGCAATTTCTTACTTGGACTATTTACTGTATTATTGGCAGGTATGATAGCCTTATCTTCAAGGTAGTGGGGCTTATAGTGTTTGCTTTTGCTACTGCCTTCATATTGCTCGGGATGGAATCACTGAGCGCCTTTCTTCATGCATTGCGTCTACACTGGGTTGAGTTCATGAACAAGTTCTATCATGGGGATGGCTACAAATTCAAACCATTCTCATTTGCTCTGCTAGCAGACGACGAAGAATGATGCATACAAAATCGGGCACGTTGAAGAGATTAAACTTGTCTCTTGAAATTTTTGGAGCACAGGTGTGGAATTTCATGAGACAGATGGGTTTTTCCGAATACACATCATTTTGTCAGGCCGCGGGACTTCTTCCTAACGGCGCGCAGGGGAAGGAGATTTTGTAATTTTTACAGCAATATTGTAGAGGGCGGGCTTGTCGTACAGTGCCTCCTGTGGAGAGGCAGATTATAGTAGCTAACAAAGAAGATAGAAAATGTAGATTTGATCCGTCTACCTTTAGCTGTCACATTTTGTCACTTGCTAGAAATGAGAAAACCCCACTTTATCATTACTGTCCAGACTGTAATGCATGACATTTACTAAATATAATATCTGTCCATTTATTTAAATAATAGTATCAGTATTCTTGTGCCGATCGTTGTCTATCTACTTCTACTATTAAGATCGGCTGGTCATGGTATGATTAATGTGTTACTTTGATGGCTCAAATTCATGGCTTGCATGTGCACCTCGTTGTGCAATTCATATGCTGTAGAAAAGAACACATGCATGCATTTTTTATAGTTCATCAGTGGTCGTGCTTTTGTATCATTTCTTTGGCACTCACACAGGCTATGTTCTATGTGTATAATTTTATCGTATACGTTTTAGAATGTGTTTCCAAAATGAGGTGAAGATACGGGATCTCTGTGTGTATGTAAGTATGTTTATTACTATTTCTTATCTTTGTGCTGCCCTTCTCAGAATGCCGACTCGTCCAGTATTTCTGTGGCACAATCTGGCAATTCGTTTGGAGCGAACAATTTCCTATCTCATTAAGCTCGCTGGCAGGCTACCCCATCATCTATCTTAGGGTGAGGGGTGGAGGCAACTTGGTGGTGGTGGGGGGCGGCAGCACGGCGGTGGTGCAAGTTCGCTGGAGAAAAAACCAGTGAGGCCCGGGGCTAGAGGGATGGCCAGGGGCAGCGGCAAGACCGGCGGTAGGGGAAGGTTGAGAGGAGGGTGGTGCGGCGAGGCGGTCGCAGGAGTGCCACCGGCTGGGCCGCTTGCCGAAGAAAAAACTGGCGAGGCCCTGGGTTAAAGGGATGGCCGAGTGCAGTGGCAAGACCGGCGGTGGCGGTAGGTTGAGGGGAGGGTGGTGCGGCGAGGCAGTGGCAGCAGGTGGCGGGGGGAGGAATAAGATGGGCCGCTGCAGCGCAATCTAAAAAGCTTTTGAAGGAAGAAGACATAATCTCGGCTGTTCGTTTTGCATCTAACGCTTCAAACTGAACCAGGCCAAATCGACTGACCCAAATCAAAATAATTCCCTTGTTATTTTATGGAATAACTGTAGATAGATTTTAAGGGCCAATCACTCTATCTCCTATGTTTCACTTAATGTATTAGCTGTGAGTTCACATCTATGGCCCAACTGATGAACTGAGCGCTTTGGCCTGCACTTTAACCACTCGTTGCATAAGATGAGTGCGACATTATTTTGCAGAAAGGTAAAAACTATCCATATCAGCCAAGGAACGACAGCAATCAGCTAAACAAAGTTGATTGGACGCAATCAGCTCCCCTTTCACACATGTCAAATGCAATTTTACAACTCAGTTGGCTTGCACGTTGCATCACAAGTCTTAAGCACAGGTGGATGTCTGTCTGGCGAGCCTTGCACCCCGGAGAGGGCACAGGAAACAACGCACCACTATAAGTTAACACCCAGTTGCAATATATTTATGCTTCCTAATACAAATATCTGAAAACAAAAGATTGCCAAACTACCAACGGCTGAATTATTCTGAATGTACAGATAAAAACAAGCACTAAACCATAATAGGTGAATCTATTCTCTCGGAAGCAATTTACATCTTGGAGGCAGCCATCACAACCAACTGTTTCCAGCCAATGATCATCATGAACCTAATGTTGGGGCGGCTTCCTTAACAGATAGATAACCACTGCAGCAAGCAAAACAAGTGTTGTGTCAGATGAAAGAGAGTAGAGTTGCGTTTTGTGCAAACTATTATAGAGTACTCCCTCCGTTTCTTTTTACTCCGCATATAAGATTTGGTCAAAGTCAAACTACACAAAGTTTGACTAAATTTATATAAAAAAATATGAACATCTACAATATTAAAACTATATAGTATGAAAATACATTTTGTGGTGCATCTGATAATATTGATTTCATATTGTCAATGTTCATATTTTTTAATATAAAGTTAGTCAAACTTTACAAAGCTTGACTTTGACCAAACCTTATATGCAGACTAAAAAGAAACGGAGGGAGTATTTCAGAGTTGCAGATTTAAGAAGCCCACTATTGTAAAAACTCCAATGTAGGTTGAACAATTTCACGTAACCATACTGAAACCCACAGCCTTGGTGAAGTCTCAAATAGCTAGGTGCAAGACAGGCGGGCCATGTTTCTCAAGTATAGTAGCTAGGGATTCTCATACAATTCGATCCATCAAAGAAACACATTCTAGAGATTCTAGTGATTGCACGTACCATAAGAGTCAGCCCTTAATTCAAGAGATTCGAGATACAACAGTGTATTCAACTGTTTTTATGTCAAAGAATGACTATCTTAAATATGTGATGAATTTGTTCAAAATACTGACAGTTTTGTGAAATTTACTAAAGAAACAGGAAGCATGAAACATGCATACAGCATCAAGAGAATCTGCTATGATTCAGCACAGGTACGTATTTTTAATTCACTTGTTAAAAGGGCAGAAGATTCATGAAAAAGACTACAAACCACTGAAAAGAAGAAGAGAAGGGGTACTAATTTTTAGGGCTGTCTCTGAATTTGCCTCACATATAGGATGCTTGTCAGTACAACAAAATTACCTCATGGAGCAATACCCATTGCCGAAAATTGCCTGATCTTCAGTTTCAGGTGTCCCCATTATGGTACTGATGATGTAAAGGGGAAGAGCGTCAGGAAAAGAATATGATGATTGAAGATTGCAATACAGAACTGTATCATGTTTAGCTTCAAAATCAAAGTATAGAGTTGTAATGGCAGGTGATGGCATGATAGGTTACCTGGGGTTGCATATAACCCATCCCTTGGGCGTAACCTCCATGCTGAACCATCTAAAAGAATATGAGCAAGTCAGTTTCAAGCAACATTAGGAGCAAAGGAACCCAAGTTGCAAATACTAACCGCTTGGGCGTTTGAGCTAGTCGCACCACTATGAGCACCAATTATATCTTTCTTCACGGATCCTTCACCAGATTTTGAGGTCAATTTACTATCACCCTACAGGAAAGTAATAGACAAGAGAGTCGGTTAATATTCAGTACATACTGTTCACATAAAACACACAAGATAGAAACAGAAGCTTGCAAGGCCATAATGCAGTCCAACAAAATGAGTGGGACGTATGTACCAACTTAAGTATTAGAGAGGATTCATGCAACCTTGCTTAGATGTTAGAACTTATTGCTTGAAAGCTGGAATGGCCTTCATGAATGCAACTATGTTTCTTTCATGGTATATGAAACTGGAAAGAATGTGGGTTTTATTCAGGTGGTCACGCGAGGAACTTGCATGCTTCAAAGTACATAGGTCATGTGTATTTCATATCAAGTGACAACTATATACCTGATTAAAGGGCCATAGCTCAAATTATGCGGCCTAAGCAGCCAGGGGTACTTTTGTGGCTATGTTTAAACTAGGACTAAGAGGAAACTACATTTTGTTTTGCATTGTATGAAAAATTTCAGTGAATCAATAGCATGCCGATGGTATTACAAAAGAATTGATTACAAGATCACATACCTCCATCTGCAATCACCGCGCCCGTCCAGAAAATTGCAAGGAAGACAGAGAAGAAGCGAGGTGAGATGGAGATACAAAACAAGAAAATTATTGTCATTTGTACTAACAGCAGCGAGCAAGAGCCATGATTACATCTCTGTACTTTTGCAGGTAGATCTTGAGGGGGTCTACGTACTCCTCGAATCCGAGCGTGGCCATGGCCCAGAGCAGATCGTCCCCGTTGATGGTCTTGCGCTTCTCCTTCTGGCACTTGTCGCTGGCCCTGCCAAACCAAACCAAACCACAGCGAAAAGTCACAACTCCGGCCCAAGACAAAACCAACCCGGCCGAGTTCGTTCAAGGTCGAGGTTCGAAAGCCAGGTGGCATGATGACGGTGGCAGCGAGCAGCTAGCGGCGGGCAACTCACTCGCTGGTGACGAAGGAGATGAACTCGGAGACGCACTCCTGGAGGGTCTCCTTGGCGTCCTTGGCGATCTTGCCGTTGGCCGGCACGGCCTTCTTCATGATGCGGCTGATGTTGGCGATGGGGAGGAAGCGGTCCTGCTCCCTGACCCCGCCGCCGCCCCGGGGGCTCCCGCTGTCGTCGTCCGCCATCCGGCGCCCCGAAACCCTAGATCCATCGCGAGCAAATCGGGTCAGGCCATGGATTCGTCAGGGCGCGCGATCGGGAGGGGAGGGATCGAAATCGAACGCACCTTATAAAAACGCGCGCGCGCGCGCGGGGAGGAGCGGAGGGGAGAGAAGGAAGGGGGGAGGAGGAGGACGGTGGTTGGCGCTGCGAGGAGGGGTGGGGAATGGGAGATCCGACGCTGGAGAAGGGGAGACGGCCCGGGCCGGTGCGATGGGGAAGACGACGGATCCGGGCCGTTCGTCGGTCGGGAAGAGAGAGAAGAGAGGAGGCTGCGGGTGGGGCCTCGCCCTGCCGGTGGACCCCCCGGGGATTGAAAAGTGCTATGGTGGGCTTCTTCTACCAACATGTTATATGGGCTTCTTTCGTTGAGGGATGAAACATTCGGAGGGCCTCTTTTGGGCTCTGTTCTCGAAACAGGAAAGGCTGCTTGGGCTACATCATAAATTTCCCTCTAATCTAGAAAACAATCACCCCTCAAAAAATCTAATCTAAAAAAAATCATTCGCAAAAAACATAATATTTCTAAAATTTTTGTAGGATCTATCTTCGTTTTCACTGTTAATCATCAAATGATGCATACATCATCCACAAGTGTTTTTTAATTACAAGGGGATTTACAATCATAGCAAAACCAATTATTTCATTCACTGCTTTGGCAATGCTTGAACTGGATGTTTGGAATCGCCATCATCAAATCTACAGAGTCTGCCTAAATTGCTGCTCACAATTGCCATCACCAAATCCATACTTTAAGGGAAATGTTAACTGGGAAATCGTAAATCAGGCGGTGATAGTTTTCTGGAAAAAAATTGTCTTCTACTCCCTCCGTTCTTAAATACTTGTCTTTCTAGGCATTTCAACAAGTGACTACATACGGAGCAAAATGAGTGAACCTACACTCTAAAATATGTCTACATACATCCGTATGTAGTAGTCATTTGAAATGTCTAGAAAGACAAATATTTAGGAACGAAGGGAGTATACCATAAACCGTCATCCTCTTCTAAAGAAAATGTCATCCTTAATAAGGGAAACTACTAGTGAAAACGTTCTTAAATGTCATCCCTTCTTTGGGAAGGTTCGCTGGGCATTAGAGTGCATAAAGGGAAATGTTAACTGGAACGGCGTCATTCCAAAGTTTTTCATCCAAGCATGCATGTAAGTTCAAACAATCGGGTCAGCGATGGCAGCTTCAGGGCATGAGCAATGGAAGCATCACCTTCATGCTGCTCCATCCATTTGTTTAGACATAAAGTATTAAAACGACCATTTACACTTATCTTCACCCAACCGAGGCAGCCATATGCAGATGTCATCATAGTGGACCCATCTCAATTCTTTTCTCGCCCATCTATTTCTTCCTCCTTGGTTCTTCACCTTCTCTCTCCCCCTTTTTCCTCTTTCTCTAGCTTTTCTCATGGAGCACCTACCTCCTCTGCAGGAGACCGGTTCCTGTGCAGAGCATCACCCGAACCTGAGTTCCAGGCTCCGAGCCGAGCTGGACCTGCGGGGCAGCACGTTGGCCATGCCCTCAGAACAAAGGAGCACGCACCTGCATTCTATCTTCGTTAGGCTGCTTTCAATCTTTTTGTTTTGGAGAAACTGGCTCCAGTAGCAAATGCCGCAACGAGCAGAATATAAATTTTCATCAGGGACACAAGCCACCTACACGAGAGCACAGATCAAACACAGCGAAATACACAGCCACTTTCCCCAGATTAGATTTGGTGCATGGGATTGTTTGTTTGGGCTTCAGCTTCGACAGAATCAGCTGCGGATTCACCGTGCTGACATGGCAAACCCAAATCAGATTTTGGCTGATTATTCAGAGCTGATTCAAAATAACTGTTTGCTTCAGATTCAGCTGCGAACCTGCTTCCTAAAGCTGAAACACCACCATATTCTACATACATCACCAACTCCCACGGCAATTTTAGGATAAGGGAACCATATTCATCTCAAACTGGGGAACAAAACTCATAACAGTAGCACTTTCCCTTAACAGGAGCAAAATGTGACAAGGCAAAGTTTTCACCAACACGATCATAAGTTATCAACTTAAAAGTGCTGTAAACACAAAGGAACCATCCTCCTTCAACATCTAAAGGCCCGACATACTGTCTATTCCATGCAACGGCAATCTAAGACCTGGGCTTCTCCTTCTTTTCCTTGAAGAGGGCAAGCAGAGACACACCAGACACCTTGACGACCTTGAACCGAACACCGGGAATATCTCCCACAGCATGTCCCTTACGACCGAATCCAGCAATCAGCACCTCGTCCTGGACAACAGGTGAAAGACAAACTTAATACCTACAGCAGGAAGAAGAACATACATGTGAAAAGTACCAAGATGGAGAACATACATTCTCCTCGATGAAGTTCAGGCAACCATCATTGGGAACGAAGGCAGCGATCTTCTTTCCGTTCTTCACAAGCTGCACACGAGCACACTTACGGATGGCAGAGTTAGGCTGCTTGGCCTCAATACCACTGCAATAGCAATAGCCATCATATATTAGCTTCACCCCATAAAAACAAGGGTGAGAAGAAAAACATATTGCCCATTTCAACATACATCTTCTCCAAAACAATGCCCTTGGCATGAGATGACCCGGCGAAGGGTTTCTTCCACTCGTTACCCAAGTGGCTCTTCTTGTATGCCTTGTCAGCCCACCTCTGGTTCCTGCGGTGGGTCTTGAGCTTGCGCCCAGCTCCCATACCACGTGTCTTACTGCAATGCAAATAATTCACGGTTAACACAGCAAAAGCAACAGACTCCTGGTCTGCATCACAACAGTCGGACATTGGATTCATTTAAAATCAGAAGGCTATATCTAGAAAATAAGGACCACCCTACAGCGCAAGTGTACGGTCGCTAACGATTCAAAGAGAAACAGTCTAAAATGCTTAGTTATGCAGACTTTCATATCATTTAGGAGTAGTAGAACAAAATCTCCTAGTACATGTTGGAAGTAATTACTCAAAAAACATGGTTAAAAGAAACAGATTTACTACCAAATCAGGATGATTTCTTATCGAAGTGTATGCTACCAGCATAACCTCCCAGATCCAAGTTCTGGGCCAAGAAAATATGACTACACGGCAGCAACGAATTAATATCGCTTATGAATATGTTTAGTGCTGACGTTGTATAATCTGATCAGCACTTGACCGTCCATAAGCTCGACGCGCAGTGACAATCTGGCCGGTCTAATCTAACCAAAAGCTCACGCCATGCCCCTAAATCACGCGGTACAGAAGGCAGACGACTATCCATTCCAGATCGCTAATCCTAGCCAAGAAGCAACCATGGAAAATCAACCGGAAGTATGTGACGGCGAGCTTACCCCATGTTGGCGAAAGGGGTGGGAAGAACTCCGACGAGGAGGCGGCGGCGGCGGCTGGGCGAGGGAGCGCGAGCTGGGAGCGGCGGCGGCGGCAATAGAGGTGAGGGATGAGGCCGAGGAGGCGGAGCTATTTATATGTGCCCGCTTTGGTGGCTTAGGGTTTTCTTGTGGGCTCGATGCTTTGAGATTCGTGATGGTCGATGCAGCTACGGTTCTGATGCGGAAGAGGCGAGGGATACGGACGCTGGACCTGGTCTGCCACGTGGACATGTGGAAACCCTCTTGATGTTTAGAGCATCTCTAGCACACACCGCATCCTGCCGGCTCGCAAAATGTGTTTACAGTTCGCGAAAAAACGGCTTTGCGGGCCGGCGCGGACGGCCGCAGAGACAGATCCCTAAACGGACTTGTATAAAAGATATTTGCGGAATATACCATTTTATGGGTCGGCTTTACAGGGTCTGCTCTTACACCGCTGCATCCCGCATCTCGCTGGTCCGATATATCAATATCACAACACAAAAATAAAACAAACATCCACACTATAAAATAATTTTTCAAATCACGGAAGCAAACTAAATAATTATTCAATACCAACACAATACAATAATCATCCACATCACAAATAATTATTCAAATCTCCGAAGCAAATTAAATAATGCAATACAAAACTTGTCCCGAATACAAATACAAATGAATAGAAAAATGAGTTTGTTACTGTCCAGCCCTTTGTCAATGTGCTCAATGAGATCCTCCTGAAGCTGAAAGTGAGTGTGTGCATTTTCAATCTCCTTGTAGGTCTAAAGAAAAGCTCTAATGCGGTTGAAAGTGCTAGTTGTCGACTAGAGGGGGTGAATAGGCGATTTTTGTGAAAGTCTCCAAAACACGGGGGCTTTGGAGACAAATGATAGAAATGAACCTATTGATATGCAGCGGAAGGTAGACTACACTAGACAAGCCATAGCCAAGTAAGCAATGAAGTGAAAACACGAAGACTATCAACAGCTAGATAATATGGACCAGGATGGAAGATAGTATGAAGCCAAACTGTAAAAAATCTTCACTTAGTGAAGTCAATCAGATCATACAGACATGCAATGACTTCACGAAGACAAACTGTAAAGTAAAGGGAAGTGAAGGATAGAACCAGTAGATTGATGAAGACAAGGCTTTGGTAGACCAGTTCCAGTTGCTGTGACAACTGTACGTCTGATTAGGAAGGCTGAGATTCAACTCAGAAGACCGTGTCTTCACCTTATTCCCCTTGAGTTAAGGACACACAGTCCTCGCCCAATCACTCTGGTAAGTCTTCAAGGTAGACTTCCAAACCTTCACAGACTTCGTTCACCGGCGATCCACAATGATTCTTGGACGCTCAAAATGCGACGCCTAACCGACCGGAAGATTCACGGTCCTCAAGTGTAACAAGTCTTCAGGTCACGCAGACAGAAAGACTTCAGTGATGCCTAACACTCGTTGGCTCTAGGTGTTTTGGGCTTTGTCCTCGCAAGGATCTCTCTCTTTCAAAAGCTTCGGAGGTGGGGGTTGCTCTCAAACGACAAAAGTCATGCACTAACTCTAAGCAGCCACCAATTTATGATGTAGGGGGTGGG